CCCTGGCCAAGGTTGAAAAGGAGAAGCATGCCACGGAGAACAAGGTACAATCATGATCCATTTTAGAGTGTTTACAAGTGGCCAGATTGTTACTGAAGTATTTTAATTAAAAGTTTAATCCTAAAGTTACTGAATATGAAAGGAAAATACTGTCATATTTATGTCATCTCTTTAGTCGTCACTATTTCTATTTACCTTGACCTTTCTCCCCCATACTTTTCAGTGAAGTGGGCCTGGCTTAGCTTCTTATCTCCATTTTCCATCTCAGGTCGACACTGTCCTAAGCTTGTTTTCCATCAAGACGACAGATATGATTAACAAGACGACAGATATCATTAACATTTCTATAATCTGTTCAAATCTAAGGTGAAAAACCTTACAGAAGAGATGGCAGGCCTGGACGAAATCATCGCAAAGCTAACTAAGGAGAAGAAGGCCCTCCAAGAGGCCCACCAGCTGACCCTGGATGACCTGCAGGCAGAAGAAGACAAAGTCAACACCCTGACCAAAGCTAAAACCAAGCTAGAGCAGCAAGTGGATGACGTAAGTGTGAAAAACATAGTATGTCCTCTCCATATAAAATAGTTATGACATGCAATTATCAGTAATGCCCAGAAGTCTCTCACTGTGGCTTTGCAAATAATAATTAAAATTCCCATACTATTTGGTGTATTTTTAAAAATTCTCCTGTGTATCTTTGATGGCTAGTAACATATGGCTCAGTGCCTTAGGACTGAAATAAATAAAATCCACTATATATTTAGCTTGAAGGATCTCTGGAACAAGAAAAGAAACTCCGCATGGAGCTAGAAAGAGCCAAGAGGAAACTAGAGGGAGACCTAAAGTTAGCCCAAGAATCCACGATGGATATAGAAAATGACAAGCAGCAACTTGATGAGAAATTCAAAAAGTGAGTAACCTGCTTGTTACCTGTCAATTCAAGTGAAATAGATGTTTTAAAGCTCTCTAAAATATTACTTCAGAGCACACAGGAAAAAAAAATGGTATCTTTGACTTTTTTATTTAATGAAAATGCTACCTTACTGACTTGTAAGAACAGGTACTACTCACGTCCTCAACACAGCAATATAAAGACATTCCACCATACATGGGAAAGAAAACTGGTAAGAGAATTGATTGAGAGCTTATGTGTTGCTCCTCTAACAGGAAAGAGTTTGAAATAAGCAATCTGCAAAGCAAGATTGAAGATGAGCAGGCCCTCGCAATGCA